AAAACTTTTTAGTCTTCTACAGAAAGGTTGGCGGCTGCGTGCCATGCTGTGCCATCAGCACAGCCAGCCCGGAGGCTGATGCGGCCACACAGTGGGTGGGTCCCTTTACAGACCAGGAACAGGGGTGCCTGAAAGGTTTTATTTTCCCTCTCTAGAGCTTCAGTTTTTAATTCAAGGTCCACAGACCATCACAACCACACTTTGCTCTTTCCTAGGCTACAGCCAGGCCTTGCAGTTCAGGTCTGCTATGCAGGCTTTGGCCAAACTCTCCTGGGATTAGCATCCTCTGTCTTCTCCTTCCAAAGTGGCTCCTTCTGGGCCCAGCTGGGCTTTTTGTGTGCTTTCCAAGAAGCAGATTCTTGGAGCAGGAGCCCTGAAAAAAAAAGCAGACAGCTAATGGGATTGCTGTTGCTGTAAACATGTTTCTATGAAATCTTGCATTCATCCCTGAGAGATGGGCTGCCCTCATGCCTCCTGTCCCCCAGCCAGCTGACCATGCACCCTTGCCTTCAAGGTGCCATTCAGAGTCAAAAGGTTTTTGCTCAGCTTCCTCCTGACTTGCCTGGAGCCAAGAGGGGAGGTCAGCAGGGACAAGCACATGCTGACCATTGTGCCTAGCAAACTCTGGGCACGGCTCCTTCTGCGTACACACTAACAACTCAGCTGCAAGTCAGATGCCAGGGAACTGGTACCACTGAGCCACACGAAGCTCCAGTCCAGGCTGGCAAACTAAAAAAACTTGACTGGTCAAGGAGTCTTGTGTTCAAAGCAGCGGGCAAAAGTGCAGCTTGAGACTCTGCCGCAGACTCACTCTGTGATTTCAGGTGACATCTCCAGGTCTTGAGCACCTGCAGAATCAGGGCAGCAATTCTTCCTGCTTCCATCCTCTGACTGTGGGATTTCTCTAGCCCAGGAGTTTCGGAGCAGGGCTCAGCATCCGGCACAGCAAGGACCTTATTGCAGAGGATAAAGGCATGTTAGGCATGTTATATATGCAGTAGTAACTGCTGACTGCCCTTCCAGGGAAAGA